TTGGTGATGGATGGCAATATGCTCGTCTCTCTCAGGTGATCTGCGATGATGAGACCTTTCTCTTCTAAAACGCACACTAGAGTGCGAGTCTAGCTCTGAGTAGCACTGATGATGGGTTTCACGTATCCCCTGGAGTTCAAGTTACAGTTAAGCGGATGGTGCGGACAATCGCCTGTCAGGCTCAGGTGAAAAAAAAACACTGACATTCACTAGACTATCCCTTGAACTCGCCGTCGTCCGAACCTTACCCAGCAGTCACTAAGTACCACATAGCTGTTTTTTCCCTCTATGACCAAAAATCGTCAGAGGTCCGAACAAGCGCTCGAGCGCCGAGCACGCATCAAGCGGACCAGACGTGCTGTGAAAAGGGCACGCGTGCCGGCTAAGATAACCACGACTCCTTCCTGTCAAGTTACAACTCTCTCGGCTGGCCATAACGAGCAAACTCAGTTACTCCCAGTGAACATCGACAGCACGGTTCATCCTGCCGATAGAAGAGCTGTGGAACTTTACAAAGTCGCTATCACCGAGAACCGCGCAAAGGAAGCCGAGCTCGTCAAGGGAATCACCGATGGGTCGGCCATGGCGGAATGCTGTGAATGGGGAAGACTACTCGGGCAGGCGGATCCAGCAAGTTCATGCGAGGCCATAGTCCAACTTCGGCAACTGTTCTCGGAGTCGATTGCCCGGCTGAAGTGTGAACCCGCAGTGGCTCCTCTGGAGAGTTGGATCCGATTGTCACGGGACGAACAGGGATTAAACGGCTCAATCTGGACCGATATAATTCCTTTGGTGAAGTCCTATGCCTCTGAGCTCCGCACCAAAATCAGAGATTTGTTAAAGGTGACGGCCGACGAGCCTATGAACTGTCCCATCCAAGTCAATCTCATGAAAGCTATGCTAGAAGCAACGGCTACCGACCCGATCATCGAGGAGGATACTTTCGTGCAAAGAAGTGTTGCTAGGAACGGTGGGGTGCCCATTGGGATCGAACAGGAAGTTGAGTTCTCGCCGCTTTGGCCGAGGTGGGACGCAGCAAAAGGCAGCGATGACACGGAACTCTGCCACTTCGCTGCTGATTCCTGGAGGAACTACAAGTCGGCAGATTGCCTTCATGATAAAGTAATGGCCTACATCAAGAAAGAGGTCGATGAGGGGCATATGATTCAACTGGCCAACCTTCCGGAAGGTGCCGTTCCTTCCAAGATCGGCGCCATCGAGAAACCTTTGAAGCCAGGTCAAGAGGACGCCGACATAAGGGTGATTGATGATCTACGAAGAAGCGGCGTTAATAGCCGCGTCACCAAATGTCATAACACTATAAAGCTTCCAGGAGTCATGACAACAGCCCTAATCGCTGAGAGGATCGATACTCATTGGCGCGGTGCTTACCCCAATGTTGAGCCAGACCTGGTATGCATCGAGCGGGATGTATGCAGTGCCTTTCGGCACCTACCTATACACGAATCGGAAGTGAAGTACTGCATCAACTGCATACCCTCCTGCTCTGAAAAAGGTCAAGTCGGCGACGTGGAGATGCAGTATTACGCGCACTCTAGACTGCCGTTTGGGCTTTGTACGAGCCCTACCCTATGGGTGAGAACCTACACAGGATCGGCCCGCCTGGCAAAGCGTATCTTCTGCTTCGCCGCCGACGCTGAGGGGCTACAAATATATATAGACGACGAGGGCTATTTCACTATCCGAGCCAATGCCCTCGACCGATTACTGGGACTTCTATTGCTGGACGAGGTTCTGGGGTTCATAACATCATATCCAAAAATACGGGTGTCAAGCACACCCCGTCTACTTGGCTACCAGTGGTGTTTATCAGACTTGTCCGTCAGTGTCCCTGAGGACAAAAAGCGTTGCCTAGCCGAAGGCGTGAACACTCTCATAGAGTCGTACGACACCGACGCAAGAGTTGATATAGCTATCCTTAAAACGGTTACGGGCCGCTTAGCATGGCTCTGCCATATATGTAAGGCCCTACGGCCTTGCCTCAAGAACCTCTATGCAACGGTCGCCGCCGCAGACCGACTGCGCACCCGATATCCGCATGCTTCTAGGATTCCCCTAGCCAAAGAGGCCCTTCCCGACCTGTACATATTTAGAGAGGCCATTGCGGCAGAAGAAAATACTCCTTGGGTGACCACAACCTCGGTACCAGCCTCTTTCTTGCTTAATTATCGACTGGAAGACGAGCTGCCCCTCGGGTCGAATCGAGTTACCGTCGTTATATCAGATGCTTGTCCAGCGGGCATAGCAGGCATGGCCATCACGGATGGTCGTGCATATTGGTTCATGATGCAGCTTAACACCCCGAAAAGCTCGCTTGTGGAGAAGTTTGTTACTCCACACTATGCAGAAAGATGGTCTTCTCGTGATATTGGTCCGCTAGAGCTCCTGGCTAGCTACTGCGCGTGCTTGCTGGCGCCTAACGACCGCCCAACCTTGGTGTTGTGCGACAACAAAGGAGCCGTCGAGAGTATCAACAAGCTGTCGAGCAAGTCGGGAAGAATGAATCGCATCGTACGCGAGCTTTCTCGGGTATGGCGCTACGGGCGAGGTCTACGGGCCTTCCATCTGAGCAGCAAGAGCAACTGGCTAGTGGATGCTTTGTCTCGACAGCCGTCTATAGAAGCTGCTCGGGAGTATATGCGTGGGTCTACAATGACGAAGGTTGACATGGCGATGCTCCTGGATAGCCTTCCCGCTACCAGTGACTGAACTTTTAGCCGTAGAGGCTCCAACGTATGCGTGTTGACTGCGTTTCAGTACTCTGATAGGGTGGTGTTCCGAGTCGAGAATGAGAGTTTTGATTGCGTATTTGAGTTCGGCGCTCCATTACATGCAGCACCCGGGCAGAACTCCAGACTGGGTCCGCAACAGCATCAAACGAAAAGCTTCTTACTACGATGATGCGTTCAGCCCTGACACACGAGGCTCACGTCAGCGACAACCGGCCATCAGACCCGGGGTCTCGCAACAAACAACACCTGACCAGCGCGTGCCAGCAGCGAAAGTCACCGACGAAGCTGTTATGACGTTCTTGAGCGCGGCGCGAGCACCGAGCACCCAAAGGCAATATTGCAGCGTCAAACGTGCCTATGAAAAATTTGTGTCTGCCAACACGGAAGATGGTATCAGCGCCTTTCCGATCGACCCGTTCATGCTAGTACGATATGCGGCCCACCTTACCACGGCAATATCGTTCAAGGGCAGGCCCTATGCGGGTTGCACTATAAGGAACTACATTGGCATCCTTCTCACAATGAACAAGTCACATCCTAGAGCTCGTCCGTTTACAGTGGCTGAGGGTGAGCTCGTGCGCCTTGCAAAGCAGGCAGTCGATAGAATCAAAGGTAAATCCACCCCGAATCGGGCTCGGACCCTTACCGCTGCTCAAGTAAGGGCTGCTTCTTTCTTGGTTCCACGCTTTGGGCGCACTTTGAGTACCGCGGCTCTCATCATCGGAGTTTGTGCGCTATTACGTATACGCGAGGCTTCAAAACTCCTCGTAGGAGACATCGAGATCGGCGATCTGAGAGCGCGCATCTGCATCCGAGAGAGTAAGACGACGACCTCACCTCAATGGGTTACTCTGGGCTGTGCCTGTCTCAACCACGGTGCCGCAGATCTCTGGTGTCCTTACCATAGACCTAAATCTATAGTATCGGGACGTACCAATACGAACGACAAGCTGTTTCGTGCAACTTACAAGCAACTCTCTGATGACGTCGAGGAGCTACTCAGCATGGTTAGCGACCCTGATGAAGACTCCAAGTGTACTACACATAGCATGAGGCGAACCGGCGTGGCTCTGATGAAATCGTCGGGCATGGACTCCGTCCTAGTGGCAGAGCATGGCAGATGGATGTCGACAAGGATGGTTGATGACGTGTATGCGCGACAAGCGACAGGGCTCAGAGAGATGCAAGCCGGTATTGCTAAACGAATGCTTCTCTAGATCCCTGTTTCGTGTTATACTGTGGGGTTCCCTCGTGTGGATCGGAATTGGGGAGATGTGTGACGGTCTTGGTACCTTCACACATCAATCACGTCGCGGTAGCGCAGTGTCAACAATGCGGAGCCCGCTAGCTCCCGGTCTCGTGTTGGTGCTTCTCTACCGTTACGTGATTCCTCAACCACACTCCCGTGTCAGAAGGGTTTTAGTGATAGCAAACGCAGTGTAGCGTGAGTAAAACCTGACCGGACGGAGGGAGTGTCCCCCCTTCTACACGCAATTATTACGCGTGCGTCCCGCACGCAGAAGACAAATGTCTGTTTCCTTTGATACGTGCGCGTGCGTGCAAATCAATCCGTCATGAGGAACTGATCTCATGTGCAAGGCACAACACCGTGGCGTAGCAATATGCTGCAGTGAAGGTTAACGTGATACAGCTAAGGAACTTTCTAGTTCCTCTCTCCCAACCCTCCCGACCCGGGAGATGTGTGACGGTCTTGGTACCTTCACACATCAATCACGTCGCGGTAGCGCAGTGTCAACAATGCGGAGCCCGCTAGCTCCCGGTCTCGTGTTGGTGCTTCTCTACCGTTACGTGATTCCTCAACCACACTCCCGTGTCAGAAGGGTTTTGAACACCATAAATATCTGGTCTGGTACGAGAAGCAGGAGCAGGTTTGCTCACTCCGCAAAGGATACAGGAAGATTACTAATTTATATACTCACTCTATGTGTCACTTTAGCTTAGTGGTAGAGCGTCTGCTTCGTAAGCAGAAGGTTGTCAGTTCAATCCTGGCAAGTGGCTTACAGCTGCATTATGCTCTAGTCGGGTATGAGAAGCAGGAGCAGGTTTGCTCACTCCGCAA